GATTTCTTAGTGCATCTCGACTGTCTCATTTCTTATCATCTTAACGCCCCCTTTCCGTTTCCTTAAATTATTAAGAGAACTAAGGCCATGTGACGTACTCTTTTTCCTGTTTATTATTGTTATGGAAGCCTTTAACCGTCTTTTCATCTAGATTAGAGAGGCTAATCTATATGAAGTTTTATCGGTGAGTAAGGGAGATAAGAAGGTGGAGATTTTATGTTTTTTGTTTGAAAATGACATCTTCGTATCTTTTAAGCTAAATAGGCCTTCCTTGACGAGAAATTAGATATGTGCTTCTCTGTTTTCACTTTGTATTAGGACTGAAGGTAAATGTGGCAAAATCTGTATTGGTGACAATTGGCAGGGGGTGGATGGCTGAGTTAGCCATGGTTTTGGGTTGCAAAGTCAGTAATTTTCTTCTAAAGCATCTTGGTTTATCTCTTGGTGGCCATATAAAAGAGGCTAGCTTATGGGACCGAGTAGTGACATGGGAAAACATTAGACTGGTTGGAAGAGAAAATGCTTGCTCAAGGGTGGTACTCCTAAACAGTGTTCTCTCTAATCTTCTTGTTTATTTTCTCTCTCTTCTGTACACTTGAATAGGTGTCTAAGCAGATTGAAGACATTCAGAATCTGTTTTTGTGGGTTATGCGGATGATTGAAGGAAATTTTATCCGGTGGCTTGGAAGCATGTGAGACAATTTTTGAGGAAACAGGGCTTGGTTACTAGAGCTATGCGGAGTTCTAATCAAGCTTTATTGGTTGAATAGAAATGACACTTTTTCAACATGGACTCCCTTTGGTGGAAGGTCAATAGAGCCAAGTTTGGCTTATTTGCTGATGATTGGTTTTCTGGCCAAGCAGATTGCTATCAGTTCTTGTTCATGAAGGTGCATTGCAGGAAGAACACCTAGTTTTTCAGCCATCTTCATTTTGAAGTAGGGAATGGCTGGCTGATTAGGATTTGGAATGATGTTTAGTGTGGTCATAAGTCTTTGAGATAGGTTTTTTCTTCTATCTACTCCAGTACTTGATTCAAGGAGAGTTTCAGATTATTTTGAGGTGTACAGTGGGAGAATTCGAGCATCCCTCTCTCTCTCTCTCTCTCTCTCTCTCTCTCTCTCTCTCTCTCTCTCTGTGTGGATAAATATAAATGAATTAGTGTAAAGAAAGGGTAGACATCAAATTATTGAAGAGATATAGATGGGCTTTGGGCATTAGCAATTTTCACAACCTGGTAATGGATGATTATACAGCAATCTTATGGTGTAAAATCTTAGGAAGACTCTATCAGCAATTTAGTATCACACATTTCAGAATGTAGCCCTTCTAGCAATTATCCAGCATTACCCTCAAGATGAAAATGTTTGGATTGGCAGTAAGAATGCTGTTGTGTCCTCAGTGGCTATTTATATTGTTTAAGCTCTGACTTTGGTCATTTTTCAGGGAAATCAAAAGGCAAAAATCAGGGATTCTACTATTTGTATATAGAAGCAGTTTCAGTTAAAAATTCCAAGTCACAGTCTACAGCTGAGGATTTGCAGGATCCAAGTTCTAATCCCCAATCTAGGGAGATGGTTGATTTATTCTCATTCTCACCTAGGGATTTAGAATTTATTGTGAAGTTCTCAGAGGAATATGGTACAGATAAATTCCGACAAATACTACAATCAATTTGTCCATCAATATATGGACATGAACTTGTCAAAGGTAAACTTCTCTCCAGGGGTGCGTGTGTCGTTTACCTTATATGATATCTTTTCTAAAATTACTTTGCACGAGTTTCTTTCGATTCTGCTCTGTTCAACCCGTGAAGCTTAATCGAATGATATGATGATATTGATTAATTAATGTTTTTTCTTTTCTAATTAACTATACATGAGCTTAGTTTTATGTACTTAAAAACTTATAGATTACATATTTAAAATTTGTGGGATTTTGTCTATCATTATAATAGATTGGTTTTAAAGTTTACTAATTTTCTCGTAATTGTAAATAATAAACAATTATAAACACAACCCATTTTTTCTTTTACAGAATTATGAGCGATTATGGTAGAAACAATATATTATGAGTAGCACTCTCTTTTCATTTTAACCTCTATATGAAGATATCTTAAATATGATACATCGTACATATGTGATTCATCTAATAGATAATCATAATTAGTTTAAAAAATAGAGAAGAAAAAAAATTAATTATATTATGAGATATTTATATTTGAGAAAAGAAATTACTGAGTATATTTACTTTCAACGAATACAAGATATATATGTTTAGTATTTAGTATATGAGAGATACATATGTGACAAAAAATAAAAAGCATAATAAATATGTTAAAACTTATACTATTTAAAAACTTATTGAGTATAACCTATTTAATAAGTATACTTAAAACAAAGATACATAATTAGTTAACAATTATATAAGTAATTTAATTTTTAACGTAGTTAATAAATAATTATAAAACACTTCCATACTTACGCAATCAAGTGGTCATGTTTTCAATCAATAAACATTCTCTTTATTATATAACAATAATAACAATATTACTTTTGTTATATAACAATAGTAATATTAGTTCTTGTGTGCTAGTTAGCATCTTGAATACTTTGTATACTATTTAAAAATATAATATATAATTATAAGTACATCTATTAGGCATAGGAAACATGTCTGTTGTATTTTGTGTAAAAGAGTAGGTAACGAAATACATTTACTATCTGTATATAGATTTACTATAAATATTCAAGAACTTATTTAAATGAATTAAATATGTATAGAAATACTTGCAACTGTATAAACCTAACCTATTTAATGAAGAGAATAAAAAAATAAAAACATAATAAATGATTATACGATTAAAATGTAACCAATAATATGGTACTGTTGTCATCCTTTTGACACATATGCTCTTTGTCCTGTTTGGTGTGCAGTGGAGATTGTTATATTAGTCCCTAATTACTGGTTCAGAAAGGATCTTTCTGATATGCAGTGTAGACTCAGTTAATTTTCTACTTTGATAACACAGTATCCCAAATGGAATTGTTATGTGAAAATGTCTTCCAAAGATTCATTCTTTTTTATGACATTGACATGGCATTTCCTTGTTTACATTCAATAAAAATTGTTCCTTTCAGTTACATGTGGTCACTATATCAATTTTCTTTGATCAGCATGGATTCCTATACAAACCACTGTCCGTTCAGTCTATTTGCTCACTCGGTATCCTAAATTGACAACGAATTGCCTATTCATGATATTTTATTCTTTTTTAACCAACAGCGGGAATAACACTTGCACTGTTCGGAGGTGTACGAAAGCACTCAATGGATGGCAACAAGGTCCCTGTGAGAGGAGATATCCATGTCATTGTTGTTGGTGAGCTTAAGATATATTCTGTTTCTGTTACAGAAAGCTTAATGCGGATAGTCCTTCATCATTAAATGAGAATTAAAGGATGCAGAAGGAATTAGTAGAACAGTGGAGAAACAAGATGGACTTATGATGATTGCATTTTCTTAGGTGATCCTGGACTTGGAAAGAGCCAACTATTACAAGCAGCTGCTGCTGTTTCTCCACGTGGCATTTATGTATGTGGTAATGCCACAACTAATGCTGGCCTCACTGTAGCTGTAGTGAAGGACCCAATGACAAGTGACTATGCTTTTGAGGCTGGTAGCTTCTTCCTACTTCTCTTTGTTTGAGTATTACAATTTTAAGATGCTTATTTATAATCTCTATTCGTAGCTCGTTCCTTCTTTCATTTTTATTGGTTCAGTGTCAATGTGTTGGTTATCTTATATAACTTGGATTTTACAAATTGAGAGGTTATACCAGGGATATAAAAAATTGGAAAAATTCCCAGAACCATGTCAAAAACTTGGTGAAAAAAGTGGCCATAAGGATATTATGAAAATACTATGTTTGTACATTTGAAGTTTTGTCAATAGGACACTTCGGACTGCTGAACTTTTTAAACTAGATGTTGGAACAGCAATATGACAGCAATATGACAGTTTAAAAAAAGCCAATATGATAGTCAATAAATAAGGTATGATCCCCTTTTCAGGTGCAAGGTCCTGACAGGATGGCTGATCTGTATAATCCTCAATACCATGTTGCCGAGCTTAGCAGGGTCAAATCTGTGTTTCCCTTCAAACAGAACCTGAACCAATCCAGCCCCTCCTGTTGACCTGCTACCGTATTTGCACCCCTCTTATTCTGCTCTTCACTAGCTACTTCCTTGTGCATCTAAGAATTTGATCATTTGAGCGTATTAACCGCGTGGTCATGTTAAGGTTTATTCATACATTTAATTAAAGTTATTTGATAAAATATGTATCTTAAACCTTTTCATCAGCGTGGTGGAAGAGCGAGTAGGTGCACTCTTGGCAATATCATGTCATTCTTTGGTAACAAGCTGGAATAATGGGCACCCAAAATTCCTAATCATTGACTTTTTAGGCATTCAATTCAGTAAGAGAAATCAATGGGTTTATACATAAGCAGCATTTGATTGAGCATATTTAATGGTTCATAAGCGTGTCAAAGAAATAACTTAGTAGAACTTATAAATTTGTGTTCTCCAAATATCTTAAAGTTTATTTGTTAAAATAAATTGTATCAGCTCATATGTTGTTAAAAGGCATATAAGTTCTCTAGCTTATAAACTCTGCATTTTAAAATGAGCCACATAGCTCATTGGCTTTTTAAACTGGTAAAATGCTTGAACACCTCACTTTTTTCTTTTTTCTTAAAAAAAAAACTCTAATAAGTTCATAATCGATAAATGAGAAGAAAAGGATAACTTATTGATATTTTATTTTGGACATTGTTGCCAATCTACTTTTAAAATCAGTGGAGGTATATTGGTCCAAAACCGTAGCTGAGGAAGCTTTTTATTTATCATTAAACACCATGAAACAAACCTAGTCTCACTAGCTTTTCATTTTTTATCTTTAAGCCCTCTGACTCTGTCACTTTGGATAGAAGCGAAATAACTCTGAGTCTTTTTCTTTTCTTTTAAAAGCAACTTAAAGCTGATTTTACCAAAAACAAAAGCCAATCCAAACATCCTTCAAACTAGTTATCTGAAAACATTTCCAAATCCGAAAAGTAACAAAGGATGTCCATACTATACGAGCCTCTAGTATTTTCAGTTCATGATGGATTGTTGCAAACACCTTTATTATCAACTAATTATGACATTTCAAACAGGAGCCATGGTACTTGCAGACAGTGGATTGTGCTGTATTGATGAATTTGATAAAATGTCTGCAGAACATCAGGTTTGCTTGCTTCTTAATAAAGTACTATTTGATATCTAAATAGTTGTCATTCAAGTAGATCATACTTATAGTAGGACTATCGCAGGCTTTACTGGAAGCCATGGAACAACAGTGTGTTTCTGTTGCAAAGGCAGGACTTGTAGCTAGTTTATCTGCACGGACTTCTGTTTTAGCAGCAGCAAACCCTGTCGGTGGTCACTACAAGTAATTTATTTTTTCAATTTCTTTTATTAGATTACTATGTTCTAAGGGAGAAATATAAGCTGAAGTAAATTTTCTACAGAAATTATTTGCTGTCGGATTTCTTCTTCATTTATTTGTCTATTATATCTTATTTCACTACTTCATTTGGCAGTATTCTATGCCCAAGGCAGCTGGCACGTCTTTCATAAATTTCATATTGTGAAAGCATGTCATAAATTAGAACAGTTCTTTTTTTTGAAGCATTCTGTTTTTGTAGTTAACATGGTAGATTCTGCTAGTACTTCACTTCAAAAGTTAATAATTTAACTGTTTCTGATATCTAAATTGCAGCCGTGCAAAAACAGTGAATGAAAATTTGAAAATGAGTGCTGCTCTTCTCTCACGATTTGATTTGGTTTTCATATTACTTGATAAACCTGATGAGTTGCTGGATAAACAAGTCTCAGAACATATCATGTCAGTAAGTATCTTATATGGTCAATTTTTTATTATTTTGCCTGCGCAGAGATGTATTCATCTCTCATTTATGATAGAGGAAGATGACATACCATTTTTTCAGTATAAGAGGGTTAATCTCAATATTTGCATCTTTCAACAATGCATCTTTGTATGCTAGACAAGAGTTTAGGAATGCTCAGAGAAGCCTTCCTGTGAACTGAAAGATTTGGTCAGTTATTGGTATCCTGATATCTAGGGTCACATTCTCAACGGTAATCTGTTTTGGCACGTGCTCGCATTAGCAACTGACTCAAGTGTCTATATTGTAGCTTCATTCTGGAGATGTGGAAAAATCACCAGTGCCCAAGAAGCTACGAACGGGTAGTGTTTCTAACTCTTTTACTGTGAGTTTTACACAGTATATATCTCTGACAATTCATGCGCTTGTGTTTATCAAATGCAGCACCACATAATTTTGAAAGCATAGGTATGAGAATAAAAGGTGGTTCTATACTTTCACGGTTGAGCTTTGATCCGAAGAAAGACAATGATTTTGTTCCGCTCCCAGGTCCACTTCTTCGAAAATATATTGCTTATGCCAGAGCTTTTGTCTTTCCCAGGTAATCTGATATGACCTCTGGCTGTGATCTTTATTTTGACGCTAATATGAATTTATTTTATGCATGCAATCCTTGACATTGCTGTTTATCAATTTTATATCAAACAGGATGTCAAAACCAGCAGCAGAAATCCTGCAGAAGTTTTACTTGAAACTGAGAGACCATAATACATCTGCTGATAGTACACCTATAACAGCAAGGCAACTTGAAAGTTTGGTGAGGCTTGCAGAAGCTAGAGCTCGGATAGACTTGAGGGAAGAAATAACAGCCCAAGATGCTTTGGTTAGTTCATCTAGCAATGCCTAAGGTCCTTTTTGTTTCCTTGATTGAGTTAAGCAATCAGAGAAAAAAGCTTTCTTTACATGTGCTAACAAACAAATTAAACTATTCATTTAAAAAATTCTTCTGAAAGTGTTCTAAATCTAAATTATCTGAAATTTTAGATCCTTATGTTGATAATATGATGAGTTCCTTTTCTGTGAAACATTTATTTTGCAGGATGTGGTTGATATAATGAAGGAGTCTCTGTATGATAAATATGTTGATGAGCATGGCTTTGTGGATTTTGGTCGGAGTGGGGGTATGAGTCAACAAAAAGAAGCAAAGAGGTTCTTAAGTGCTCTTGATAAGCAATCAGAGCTGCTGCAGAAAGATTGCTTTTCAATTTCTGTAAGCACTTTTACCTTCCATATAAAACTTCAGCAGTTTTGCCGCCCCAAAATCAAATAATTGACATGGTTATTCTTGTCTTCAGGAAATTTACTGTCTGGCAGATAGAATTAGCATAAGAGTTCCTGATATTGATACCTTTGTGGAGAACCTGAATGTTGCTGGCTATCTACTCAAGAAGGGTCCAAAGAAATATCAGGTATCCCATTGCAAACTTCGAAGTTTCAGGGACCACAGACATACCACCAAAGAATGGAGGTCCAGACAACAAAATCAAACATTATTTTAAAATTGAAGAATTAAATTCTATGATCTCATATGGCTTCCATACTAAATTCCTGAGATGGTTTTGTCTTGCAATGGGAATTGTAATCTGACATTATTCATTCAGTTAGGAGGTATTACTGAGTCAAGATTGGCGCAGTCATGATGTTTGCATTACAGTATCAGATTTTCCTTTGGTTCATTTCTTATTAATAACAGAATGAGTTTACCAAAATTTAATCTTTTAGAGAAATTGAATTTAATAACCTTTGATTTGAAACAATTTTGTGTCATGTGCCCCCATTGACCTTGCTTTCTCATGCAGGTGTTATCTTCATCTTATTCACGAAGTCAACCATCAAGGTCAAGAAGCTAAACTCTGCAAAATTAGAGAGCAGAGGCTTAGTCTGTGGCTCGAGAGCACCAACTTTAGTATGCTTCTTTTCCTGTGTTTATCGAAGTAGTTGCCCATGTTTAAATTCATCTTACAAGTATTTACCCAGTGTCACAAGTGAATTCCTGACATACTCAGCTGTGGTATATGCGTAGCTAATCTAAACATATGTGCTACAACTGTCATAATGCTTAGATGTGTAGACTTGGTCGTCATAATAACCTGTAAGTTCTTTATAATAAATCTGTGCGGCCAAACTTTATTTTCTTGTTACCTGAAAATTAGCATAGCTATAAACTAATTTTCACACCACAGCGAAAACTAGTAGTCATTGTTTCTTTTGTTACATGTAACATTTTTGAACTATTATATTACATCTGAAATTCATATATTTTCATCCAGGTTCAGACTTCATACATACCTGAATATTTTAATCCTAGTATACAAGGACACCAAATAACCATGTTGAGTTGGACGAGTATTTCGGCCAACCCATCCAGATGTCCTACTCATTTGAAGGTTATAACTGCCATTCGCTCCCATAATAAGAGTTGGGCAAACCTAACCAAAACTTGAAAGCTTCAGCTGCTCTCTTCCTTTCAATTCTTCTATCCTGCCTGGCCTGGGAAGCATGCTTACTAGTGAACATCCTTGAATGCATTTCCACGTAAATTTTTTTGTACTTGGTTTTATTTGGGGGTATGCCGTTCTCTTCCATGCACGCTACAATTTCTAAAGCCTTACGGAAGAAGGCAGCCCTCACACAAATATCAGCCAGAGTATCCAACAACCCTTCATCTGGTTTCAGTGGTGGGGGAGAACAAGAATCCCCATCCGAGCTTTCTTCCCTTTTCACTTCACACCTCTCCTTTATTTCCTTCCATAACAATAGCGCTTCTCCTGGTTTTCTAGCCAGTGAAATCCCATTTGCGAGACTTCCATAAGTTGCTACATTAGGGTGGAAATTATTCTCTCTCATTCTCTGAACTATCTTCTTGGCTTCTTCAACCAAGCCCAGCCTGCAATATCCTTCAACCAGCATGTTCCACGCAATCAAATCAACTTTAACTCTTGGGTCTCTCAGCATCTCATCAAACACCTTGTTGGCCAGCTTTGGCTGGCCTGACATGGCAAAAGCTTTCATTAAAGTAGTGTAACTAATCTTGGTGGGAGCAATTTGTCTTGCTCGCATTTCATTGAAGAATGCAAGAGCCCCTGCACTGTCATCAATTAGTATGCATCCATCAATCAGGATATTATAGGAAACCGCATCAGGTTCAACCCCATCATCAGCCATCTCCTTGAGCAGTTCCTTTGCCTTGTCTATCTGCAACTGCTTGCAGTAACCCTTGAGCAGAATATTATATGTAATCCTATTTGCAGGCACTCCAACCCTTGTCATTTCGGCTAGTACTTGACGAGCCTTATCCATGGACCCTGCCTTCACAAATGCAGATACTAGGGTTGTGTATGTAACATGGTCAGGATGACTGGCACTATCATCCTGATGCCGCATTGCCTCTAGAGTCCTTACAGAGTCCATGACGCGGCCTGCCTTCATATAACCTTTCATTAGGGTAGTGTAAATCCGAGAGTCAGGAGCAAACATTTTTGGCATCAATGGGGGCTCATCACTCGGTTTACTCGAATTAGGAAGCAATTTCGCAAATACATCATCATCTTCTCTTTCCTCATTTAGATTCGTATCTTCCCAATCATTAAAATCATGGTCATATTCAGTCTCATCCTCCAAATTTGAGTCCCGTAGAATCTTGCAGAGGTCTCTCCTCCCCTCTCTCATCGCTTGCACAATTTTCTCTGCCGTTCTCAAATCACCGAACCCAACATAGGTTGCAACAAGTGAATGCAGTGTAGTCATACACAAGCGAATTCCCTTCTCAATTATCCTCTCCAACACGAAAACAATCAGGTCCTTCCTATCAACTCTTGCGCACAGCTTGATCATAACATTGTAGGTTAGGGAATCGGGCTCGCAACCAAACTCAGGCATTTCATAGAACAACTGCAGGAATCGGTTAGTTTCACCAAGATTGGCACAAGCATTGAGAACCGCATTATATGCAGCGGTATCTGGCCTCGACTGGGCAATCACGGCCGGGTCATTGAAGCGGCGGACTCGGCGAATAACCGAGCTGAAAAGCTTGATAGCTTCCACGGGCCCATCATCGCCGGATGCAGCGAGGCGACCGACTGCGGCGGTCCATGCTTTGACATGGGGAAGGTAGCCTGAGCGAAGCATGGACTTGATAACTGAGGTAGCATAAAGTGTGTGGCCGGATTTAGCTGCAGCCATGGCGAGGAGGCCAAGGGAGTTGGCATCAAGGCGGTGGAGCTGGCGCTCATTACGGAGGCGCGTGATAATGGACTGCGCTCGCGTGAGGCTGACACGAGTCTTCTGGTAAGATAATTGGGAGACTAGACGACTAAGGCAAGTGGGTCCGGGGAGGTGAGTGGACCGAGTGTACTCAATCCAAGCCTCCTCTGTTTTTCTTTGACGAAGTAGAGACAAGAGCTGTTGCTCATTGTTGGTGGAGCTGGAAACTGTAGCGTTGGTGGTAAAGATAGAGAGATCAGTAGAATTAGTTTGGTTGGCTGTGGTATGCACGCGAAAGGGGCGCGTGGGTTTTGCCGGTAGGTTCAGCCAGTGGAGAGTGAAGGTGTGGGTTAAAGAGAAAGAGCTCTGGTTAGAAATGGAGGAAGAGGAGGGCGGCGATGGAGGAGGTGTTGACAGGTTCATGGCCGGTTCATTTGGGAGGAGAGGGACTATGATTTTGAATTTATGAGGATAATATCAGAGAGAGCGAACATTTTTTTTTGGGTGGAAAAGGGATGAACTACGTCGAGTGGGTCTTGTCCTCTTGTTTGTCTTCGGCGAAGCTGACTTCGTTATGTCTTCTCCTTTTACAATCAATTCAACGCCAGACCCCTCCTTTTCTAAATTGTTCAATTAAATTCTTAAACGCTATTTCTTTTTCAGCCAAACCCAAATTTTTTTTACTTGGTTTAGCTAAATTTTATTTTAGTTGACAGAGTATATGATATATTAAAATAATTAGTGTGTAATTTAAAAATATATATTTAAAAGACGGACACAACACTGAGTACTTTCTAGGAGGTCTTATTAATGTGTAAAACTTGGTCTGAGAATATGTTAATTAATTGGTTAAAGTAAAGAAAAAATTGTGTTGCTAGAGATGTTTACATGACAAGTAATTATTGGTAAAGAGTTCTTATTTCCCATCTTTCGTCATCTTATTCTACCCATTTTTCATTTTCACCTAACTAAAAGGCTTTCCTTCAAATCTCCTCTTTATAACTCTAAAGGCTTTCTCTTTTTCTCCAAAACTAGGTTTCTTCTTTAACCAATTTGGCTAATGCTTTCTTTCATTAGGGTCCTCTCTTGCTACAATAATTAATGATGCCTCAGGCTCTTCTTTGTCACATCCAGAGTCTTGCCCTTTACTGCTCCCTTGGAGGAAGCTCCTTTGTCAACTTTTTAAAAATCAATTTCTTTCCACTTCCTCATGTTCGTTGCTAAGAATTAAATAGTAAGGAGAGAGAATCAGTAATGTAGGATAAAGAGAACTTAATGAGAAAATCTAAGAAAATTTTATTAAGAACAAAATTTGGAGATATGAAATCTGAATATTAAAACAATACCTCAATATTTAAATAATAATCATAACAAGTCTACCTAATAATTAAATTAAAATACTTTATTTATAGACACTAAAATATATTAAAAATAAAAGATTTAAAAAATCTTGTAATTATATGTTTATCATCTCATACAATTCAAAAGGATCCTCCATGCTAACTAACCAATTTAAGAAGACATCAGAATCTAATTTACCATCATAGCTAGTAACATCTATTTTGGACTCGCTTGGTAACGCTAAAGATCCTTTTATTCTTGTTGGTGATTGTTTCCTCCACCAAAGTCATGATGAGATTGTCTATTTGTGGAGATTGCTTAGGACTATATCTAGATTGACTGATTTCATTTTCGTCAGAGGCTGACACACCAAAGATAAAGGTCATGATAAGGTTCCTCTCTAAGCTCTGAGGGCTGACCCATTTGTCTAGTCTTGTATAGAAAGAAATTAGCTTCCTCTCTAAGCTCTGAGGGCTGACCCATTTGTCTAGTCATGATGAGATTGTCTAGTTGTGGAGATTGCTTAGGCCTATACCTAGATTGACTGATTTTATTCTCGTCAAAGGTTGACACACCATAGATGAAGGATTTGGTAAGGTTCATCTCTAAGCTCTGAGGGTTGACCCATTTGTCTAGTCTTGTACAGAAAGAAATTAGCTTTCTCTCTAAACTCTGAGGGCTGATCCATTTGTCTATTCATGATGAGATTGTCTAGTTGCGGAGATTGCTTAGGCCTATACTTAGATTGACTGATTTCATTCTCGTCAAAGGTTGACGCACAGAAGATGAAGGTCATGGTGAGGTTCCTCTCTAAGCTCTGAGGGCTGACCCATTTGTCTAGTCTTGTACGGAGAAAAATTAGCTTGAACAGATGAATATTCATGTGCCACATGTTTAAGAGGAACTCAAGATTCTCATTAATTGTGAATTTGCCTTTTTTCTAAAATTTTCAAAGGGGTGAAGAACATAGATTTTTTACTATCCGAAAATTTTGAGTCATTCCAAGATCCAATGAATGTCGAACATGTATCATACTGGAGAAAGATTTATATATATATATATATATATATATGTATATATGTATGCATGCATAACCAAAACTCATTCAAGACCGTCCATGCTTTCTTATCATAAAGCTTTCCATATCAGAGTCACCCCATGGATACCAAATATGGGTCTTTTTTGACAGATTGTTTCCTTTATTATCGCCCCCCCTTGTGTTTCTGTAATTACCAACTAAAATAAATAATAGCTAGGATTTACATATTATATCTCTGACTTAATAACATATGAAATAATTTATGTAATAAACTATTTTTGAAAAATTTTAAATTAATAGAAGGAAGAAAAAACTCAATTTATTATTCATACATTAATATATCTCAAGGAGTTGTAAATATTGTACATATATAGATAAAGATAAAACGTTAGAGATTCTTGCATGAGCATAGATTGGCTTCAAATCTTTGCAAAATCAAGAGACTTCTTTCCCTCGTGTTTGTTTCCGAAAAAATTGTTCCTATAATCTTGATATAAAAACTCTCGATAGTAAGCGACGCCATCTCTCTCCACTGCTTCAGGAAGCGGCGCAATCTTCTCTGTTGATTTTGGAATTATAAATATTGGTACAGAAACTCTTGCTTGGCTACTTGTGGTACGTACTCTATGTTCAGCACTTCTATACCTTCCATTGCTTAGTATCTGCTTACAAAAGTATATAACATTAGCATTGTTTCCAATAATATACACGTTAGGAATGATGGAATATTATTTTCTATCAACGTAAGAATATGTTGTTCCCTATCAAAATAAGATAATTATTGAATGATGAAATTTTTTCTTTTGTACTCGGAAATAATTTTGTAGAAAAAGATTTCAACCAAACTAACATTTCAATGAATTATTAAACAACTAAATATGTGATAGAAAGAAATTCTCGCCTGTAAAGTGTCTCCTACATTGATGACCAAAGATCCTGCAATAGGTGGGATTTCAACCCATTCTTCCTTATTGTTTCCTTCTTCAACTTTCACATACAAACCTCCAATACCATCTTGAAATAACACAGTTAAGATGCCTATGTCCGAATGACGTCCCACACCCACAGTAGCATCAGGATTGGGGCATGTTGGATAGAAGTTCATGTTAACCATTTTCACAGTCATCAGCTCTTCTATTTTGGATTCATTTGTCACTTCCCCGATCAGAATTTCTATTAGTTTCTTCACCATTTTACTTGATCTTTTAAGATACTCTAGTGCCACTTCACTGTGTTTATAAATATACAGCAAAGATTAATGGATGGTAGGTTTCCATTAGTTTAGCTTGTAGAATTATATGAAGTCCATATATTGTACATATAGTGTGTGTATATATATATAGATACATGCATGATTGAATTGAATATATATATATATATATATGTATATACCTGCATTCCTTGGGCCAAAACTGAAGAGCATCATCATCATTAGTATAACCCATACAAACATAATCCTTCCACTCCAATGCATTCTCTTTCTCCGGCACAAAGCTCGTACCGTACTTGACTAACGGGCTAGGACTCACCCCTTTCCGATAAACAGCCTTCTTCTCCGGCGGCAGCGCAAAAAAATTATGAGCTGCAGTTTTAAGTGACTCCAGCAGCTCAACAGGTACCCCATGGTTGACCACTTGGAAGAACCCAAGAGTCTCAGCGGCTCGTATGATTTGGTTAACCACTTGGTCATGGTCCGAGCCATCCAACTTGGACAAGTCAATTGGTGGCTCAGCGTGAGTCCTTGCTCTTGGCTTGTCTATTCGCTCCTCTGCTGGTTGTATGTAAGCTTGGGGCACATATGATAGACCCAAGTCCACCATGCCCTTTACGCCATTCCCATCTCGAACCACGAAGTTAAACAATGACTGGTTATTGTCAAAATTAGGAGCCATTTTTGGTATTTGTAAATTATACCCAAGCCACTTCAATGGCTTCTCCTTGTGGGGAAGGATGGAAATTTAGTAACTACATACGGTATTAGCATACAGAGGATGCACTAGTCTTGCTATAGAATTTAACTATTTAGTTTATTATATATATATATATACATTTTTTTTTTTGGGTTTGACAATGATATGTATATTTCAAGTGCCTATCATATTAATTTGCTTGTTGACTTTTTTAATTGATTCAGTATTTTGGAGAAAAGAAGGCATGATCTCTGTGATTTTAGGTTAATCGTTTGGCATCTGAACGTACATTTTTTCTGGGTGGCAATCAGCATGCATAATCTGGCCATTAATTAGGTTTTGACTTTAAGAGAGCATTTTTTTAGGGGAAAAAAAAAAGCTAGTGGAGGCAGTTGGGAATTAAAGTCTAATTAGATGGGCTACTAAGATTGCTTAATTAAATGAATAGTACATTATTATTTTATAAAATATTGTAAATTAGAGTCTATTTATAATTTTATGTATTTTTATTTAGAAGTTATTTCTTATAATTAGTATTTATGTTATAACACTTATTAATTAAAATAAATAAATAAAGCATGTAATGTAGAGGAAATGACCGACGGCAATTGTGGGTAGACAAGCTAAGCATTTCGTGTGTCTTATACGTTTGTGAAGGTGGTGATATATAATACCATCATGAAAAAAAAGATATATATATATATACATACATACGTACATACATACATATATTTGGATTATAAAGTAACCTTCTCATCATGACTGAACATCATCATCACCTATCGCAGTCTTTTCACCATCTTTCATCTCCTTGATCTGCGTCCCAAGCTTCTCCAAAACCTCTTCTCTTCTTCCTTTTCGACCAAACCCGAGAGTCTAGGGTTTATTTTTGTCGTACCATAGAAACGACGTCGTTCTTACGTTTAGAGATGAGTACTTGGGCTTTCTTCAAAGGCCCAAAACTGTTTACTTATTGGGCTTCATTTGTCTTGGTAAAAGAAAAGAAGAAGAAAAGGAAGCTAAAAAATGTGAAGGCCTCAATTGGACCCAAATGGGCGAGACCCTGCCTCTCCTCTTTCTTATTTTCTTCTTTTTTTTTTTATTTTTATTCATGTTTAATAATCATTTTATTTTTCTAATTATTTTCTTGATTTTTTATATTTTTCTTCTTCATTGCTTTTTTGTGTTGTTATTTTTCCTCACTTTTAATTTTTTTTTTTTTTTGAGCACGACAATAACAAATAATTTACTAGCAAATAATAACTATTCTTACAATGAAAATAAACACAAATAACGACAATTAAATCGTGGGTAAATTGACTTTTGCCTTATTTTATTTTTTTTAAAAAAAAAGGTTCGTCCCCTTTTTCATTAAATTAAACAACTAACAACTACATTTTCGCAAAAAAAGTAAGTTCGAAACAAATGATACCAAAATTAAATGATGCACAAGTTATAAATGAACTAATAGATTACAACTTCCACGTCAAGGTTTGCCAATACGAGTTATAAAACTGGAAAATCGTGAAATCTTAAAAGTTTGAAGTTAATACTTAAGATTCTTTCCAAAAAAAAAATATTAGATCGAGATGAAATATACATACTTGAAAGTTTTGATTAGATATTATCTTACTTAGGTTTAGTTTATATATCTATACATTATAGTTAAATATTCTCTATAAAAGCTTGATTATTAATAATTGACTTATAAGTTATAGCTTAGGAGAAGTATTCGTTGTTTATTGGTGCAAAGTGTTGGCTCAAATTTTTAAGGCAATCCAAGAGGATGGAATGAATTGAATCTTTAAGTTTTAAATCAATTTAAATGAAAAAATATGTGCAACTAGCATAGATAAGCTAAGTTTTATATACAGTACAAAACTAAATATTAATGATAAATAAACGAAAAATAAAGTTAAGTGGTTGTAAATTTTATTTATAGATAGTCAGGCCACCAAATATGTATTTGCATCTCTCCTCAAGCAAACGACTTACGCTTTCTATTATTTTCATTAAATACTTTTACAATGACATATTAATAAAGTGTCTTATCGTAACCAATATACACTCAAAATATTTTACTTATATTTTTTACAAAATATAACCTATTTTCTTTAGAGAATTACTCTAAAAAAGTGAGTATTCAAAATGAGTATTTAATAAGGGTAGGTTGTATTTGAGTATGGTATTAGCGACCTTCCTATTATTCTAAGTGAGAGTTTGGCCAAGAAAAAAGAAAAAAAATATCCTGCAAAGTTTTTGTCTTGAAATCGTGTGGAAATGAGGAAGAAAAAGCTAAAGGAAAGGTTCATCTTTCCATGAATTTTTTCTCTCTTAGGTTTCGGTTAAACTCATATAGTATGTAATAAGATCTAAAAATTAACTTTACATATATGTTAATATATATTTAGAAAAGTATAATGATAAATAGTTTGCATATTTTGATTTTAATCAAATATTAAAATCTATCATGAGATTTTATATGGTAAAATTCTTTGATATTTAATAATCTATTATAATAAAAAATTAATTAATTAAAAAAATAAATTTCATTATGTTTACCTTCTAACATACAACAAAAATTTATTTTTGTCATGCATTTATAAATTAAATTAATGATAATTTAACTATTAATAACTCATTAGAAAAGTATATACTTTTATTTTTAATAATATAAACAATATTATTATATAAAAATATTTTATCAAATTTTAATGCAATAGACTTAAGATAATATTAATAACAGATCGTTATTTTTTTCTTTTAGTATTAACCGTTTAGTAACAAATCGTTAGTTTCCCTTTTTAATATTAACGGTTTATCTCATATGAAATATTCCACATTTAACTTTTCCTTTTGATTCACGAGAGCAAATATGCTCTACTCATTATCATGTATTCATTCTTTTCTCTTTCACAAAACCTCATAATCATTATTATGATATGAAATATCAATTTATATTCATACAAGGAATTGTGTGCGGAAGAAAAAAGAAATTTTGAAAATGAAGGAACCTCCAATTTATTTTATACAGGTGAAAATGGTCGTACTACCTATTTTTATTTTGAACAAGAGTTAGGAAAGAGAAAAGAGCGGAAGAAGAAGAAAACCCATAGAGGAAAACCTCCTCTGCCACCGTCCACCGCCCACGACCCTCCTCTTCTCTTTTCCTCCAACTCTACTGCCTTGCATTTCTGCTCGTTACATTAACAGACCCAAAACGTTCTTTCTACAAACGAGAGGGTTTGCCCTAGGTACGCACACTAATCTGTTTCTCTGCTGTACATGTGGATTTCTGATATTGGGTTACGATATTAAACCTTGGGGCTTTACCGTCGTTCAATTTCTACTTTTTTTTTTTTTCTGTTTTTGATGTCTACGAAACCCGATTACATCGATTTGAACTCGGATTCAAGTTTGTTTGACCGAGAAAACGACGTTCATGGGGTTGATATTTCGGAGGATAGACCTGGTGATGGGGGTTGTCTAACCGAAACCCTAAAAGATCCTTTGGACGGTTTAGGTCAGGTCCCGGACGTACCAGGTGACGAGGTTAGAGATTTTCTAGGGGCTACTGGCTTGGTCGATTTGATTAGTGGTTCGACTTTCGGTAGGGTTGTGGATAATGTAAAGAGCGAAGTGTTGATCGACGTGGAGAGGAAAATGGAGTCTGTAAATGGAGGAACTGGTGCGGAAACAGAGGTTGGATCAGCCAGTCAAGAGATTAATAAGAAAACGTGTTCTCATGATGCGAATGAGGAGTCTCTGGTTGGTGCTGAACTGGACTTGAATATAGAGAGACAGGACGAGGGTATGTCTACGCGAGATGAGGAAGATATGGTGATTTCCCAAGCTCCTGAAATAGCATCTGGTAAGATCAAGGAAAAACTGAAAGAGAATGCAACCACAGTCTCTGGTAATGCTTTGCAGCCTGCAAAAAATGGTGCCTTGGGTTCTCTTTCTGTTGATTTAAAGCCTACTTGTTTGGTAGCGGATGCTGATGAATGTGGTGAAGTTTCCAAGGATGGGAATTCGGTTGGATTGGAAGAAAAGGTTATGGAAACTGATTCTGTAGTTGAGAATGAAGTAATGCGATTAGAAGTAGGGTTTCCTCAGAATGCTAAAATTGTATCTTCTGAGCTCAAACTTGTTGTAGATTTGGATCCTTATATGAGCAGAGATGAGCATGTGGCAGAGGAAGTCAATTTGAAGTCAAGTGTTTCAAAGCCAGAAATCTGTTTTTCTGATTTGGTATGGGGCAAAGTTAGAAGCCATCCGTGGTGGCCAGGGCAAGTAGTTGACCCATCTGTTTCATCAGAAAAGGCAAAGAAATATTTTAGGAAGGACAGTTATTTAATAGCATATTTCGGGGATCATACATTTGCTTGGAATGATGTGTCACGAATAAAGCCCTTTCGGACTCCTTTTGCACAGATGGTAAGCCAGAGCAGCTCGGAAGATTTTCATCACGCTATTGATTGTGCCTTGGATGAGGTATCTAGAAGGATAGAATTTGGGCTAGCATGTTCTTGTATCTCTAAGCAAGTGTACAACAAGATCAAAACTCAGGTGATTGTTAATGCTGGAATCCAAAAAGAATCAAGCAACCGAGATGGTGGAGACAGGTTTTCCAGTATAGCTTCTTTTGAACCTGCGAAGCTTGTTGGATGTATGAAGAATTTGGCTTGTTTTCCTTGTTATTTTGGAGCCAACAGACTGGAATTGGTAACATTGCAGGCCCAGTTGTTGGCATTTCATCGATGGAAAGGTTATTATCAGCTCCCTGAATTCCAAATGCTTGGTGAGTTGTCGGAGAGTGAGGAAGAGATTTCACTTTCTGGGGAAACAAAGATCTGCTTCCAAGTGACTGAAAATGCTGTTATGGAACTCAAACCTGATGAGCAATTGTCTTCTGGAAATGGAAAGTCAAGCAGCCGAGATAGCACTTGTCATAAAAGAAAGCACATTCTTGGGAGTAGTACACAGCCCAGAAAAAAGGAGAAAAGCTTGTCAGAGCTGATTGCAGACAGAAGGTTAAGTAATAATGGAGGGCGATTGACTAATAAAGCTGGTGGTAAATTGACTTCACCTTCTTCTGGTAAAAAGCGCAAGGCAGATGATTCCAGTTCTGATGACTCAGTAATGAAACAGAGGAAGATCTTTTTATCAAAGGAGTCTGCTCATGACTCTCAAAAACTTAAGCAAGCTTTTAGAGTTGGAGCTAGCATACTTAGGGTGGCAAGCCAACTGAATGGATCGAATCCGATACTCAAAAACCATAGTGATGGTTCATCTCAAAAAACTGCAGTTAAGAATAAAGGTAATGAAAAATCTCTCTGTGGGAAATCTCAATGTAAGAGTCTCATTCCAAGTGACGACTCTTCCCTTGATGAGATGCTTTTACAACTGCACTCGGTTGCAACAGATCCAATGAAAAAATACAGTTTCTTGAAGTCATTTGTTAGTTTCTTTTCAGATTTTAGGAATTCAGTTAGCCTGGAAGATTCTAGTTCAGCAAAGATTGGCGAAAAATTAACCAAGTCAGAAAATATTGAAAGGACTGAATGGAGTGATATGGAGGACTCTAATTTGCCTAGCAGAGTAAGTCAATGCCTTGCCGAAGAGCAAGTATGGCATGAGAATCAAAGTGGAGCTGTAGAATTACCCTGGCTTCTTAATAAAGAGACCCTTCACTCAAATGAATCAAATTTAATTAGTGTGCATAATAACAGTTTCTCCGAACAGCAATCAGCTGGTGGGAATTCTCAATCAGATGCAATGCAGTCAGTTGGCCCCTCAGAAGTGAGTTGCAAGGAAGATGTTCATGAGACAGATATCTCGCCCACAGCTCTGATTCTGAACTTTAAAGATTTAGATTTTATTCCTTCAGAAGCAAATTTGAGCAAGATATTTAGCCGTTACGGAGAGTTGAATGAATCACAGACTGAAGTGCTAAAGAAGAGTAAGAGGGCCAAAGTGGTTTTTAGAAGGCGAGCTGATGCAGAAACGGCTTTCAGCAGTGCAGGGAAATACAGCATCTTTGGACCTTCACTTGTCAGCTATTGCCTCAAGTACTCGTCTTCTAAATCAACGACAGCTTCTCCTAATGCGAAAATGCCAAGGAACAAGGATAGAGCTTGTAACGATGGAAATGCAGCATGATTTATCGAAATCGGAATCAGTTTTCTGCATTTCGATGCCTATGTTATGTAACTTGTTTCATGGTGCTCCTCTTTTGAGGCAATATGTATATATATATTTAGATGTCAATGTTAGTTTTTAAACTAGCACTTGTCTGCGTGCAATAAGCTTGGTTTGAAATTCTCTATAAGTAGCTTCTCTAGAAAAATGAAATATAGCTGTAGTACAGTTAAGATATCCTGCAGTTTCATTCATTGTAATTTGCTACCCTATAATTTTATGGTAATAAATGAAAATTCACCATACTAAAATTTTTCAAAATCCAAATAAATCTTTTACCGCAAGGTATTGGATCCAAAATCAACATCTTAGCACAGTTTGGCATGATGTTTTGTTTTGTTTGTTTGTTTTTTTTTTTTCTTTGATTGAGCCTTCAAGATTGACAATATCTAAATGAATTTCAGCACTTGTATCAATTATAAATAACTTTTGTTTGTTTTGTCACTTGCCACAAAATTCAAGCTTTATAATATTTTGACACAATAAAAACCATAACAAAATATATGAACCATATTAATATATATATATCTATATAGACACACACACACAGAACAACTAAAGGATTTTATATGCAATCATAATTCAAATTAACAATAAAAAATTCAATTAATTGAAGAAGATTTAGGTAGATATAATAATAGTAATAATACTAAAAACTTAAAACAACTGGAGAAGAAGACAGAGCCAGACAATAAAAACTCTTCAATTTCACTACACTCTTATAAATTCTATTTGGGAACTCATATACTCTTGAATTAAATTGAGAATAAAGTAAAAATAAATTATAATTCAGGATATTACAAATGAGAAGGAGATTTGAATATTCAATAGTAAAGAAATTTAAAATTTCATTGCAATATTATATATCTATATACACAATTTATGCCAAATACATTTTCATGGGACTAGTCGGGAACTGAACAAATCATTTCGAATGTTTACTTGTCTTTAATGTGCTAAATTAAACGAAGCCAAATTCCATTTAAAGCCTTTCTTTGCCAAACTGGCAAATCTACAATTGTACATACAGTTTTCATAATTCATACATAGATAATACGACTGTTTAGCCTCCGCTTTGGGGATAGATATATGATTCATCAAGATTCTACGTTACAGTCTCGGATTTTTATTACAAATCCTGACAATAGGCTTTGAGAACATCCAAAATTGTCTAGGATGTAAGTGAAAACAAACAAATCATAGGTAGACTTCTAAGCTAGCTATGATCCATGTTCAAGATATCGTGATGAAAACTAAACTAATTTGCTGAAACGAGTAACAGATTCCCAGACGAATTCTAAGTCTAACACTAAATCCATAGAATTCCTCGTGGAAATTAACTATTTCATACTGGAGTAGGCATATGATTCGCCAGCCCAATTCTTTCTCCCAGAAGAGCGTGGTATGCATTCCCAGATCCAATTTGCACCCTGATTAAGTTGGATCCAACTGGAACTTTCAGCTCAAGCCCTCAGGAGGTTGTATATATGGTACAGGGGAAAATGGAATTACATATCTGCACAAGCACATAAAAGATTGATCATTTCAACAGAAAAATAATTTCACAAACCTTCTCAAAGTATTTCTTTAATGTAAATGACCTAAAATTCCACTTTATAGCCTTATGTTTAAACAGAATTAAAGAGCATCGTATTTGAGCACCTAGCAAAAGATTCTGCAATTAGGTAGCTGCATTCTCTACTTCCTCCACTGGCACAGTTAAAGTATCAGGCACTCCCTCCCTATCATGAGAGGAATTGTTAACCACAAGAGGCATCCTCTTGCCAGTCAAACTGTCACAGGCAAGTGGAGACTGAGGTAGTGTAGACTTTAATGGGGAATGCAAAACTTGCTCCTTCTCACAAATAGGAGAAGGAGAATCAGTGGTTGTCTCTTTATCAATTTCTGTCTTTATAATATCCACTGTTTCAACTTTTCTGATCAACTTGTCAACTTCATCTGCAAAATGAACTTTCTTTTCTGTACTTCCATTTTTTCCTCCTTTTCTTGATGATAACACCTTTTGTACACTAGACATTGAACCATTAGCACCATCATTTTCAAGTCCTCCATTAACAGAAATCACCTCGATGTCCTTTGCATAAGGAGCAACATTTCTTCCTGGAATTTCATCATTCAAAGAAGCAGGGGCATCACTCTTCTCTGCAAAACCAGGATTTGAATTATTGATTACTTTGTCACCTCCTTTGGGTTTCTCTTCCTCAGGCATTAAGGCCTTTCCTCCAGTAGTTTTGGGTGATATTCTTTTCTGAACTTTTGGAGATGAAGTGGAAATATTTTTTGCATTTCGTGAAGCTGATCTACTTGTGGAATTTGAGGATTCCTGCATGGATAAAGGAGGTCCAGATTTTCCATTTAAGGTCGTTTGACGGGTATCAGGTTTGGTGCACTTTACTGATTTGAGAGTTCTTGAAGACTGAAGCTTTCCAGGCCTTATGCTGGTTGAGCTTCCACTGGGGCTAAGACCTCCACTTGCAGGTTTAGGCAAGCCACCAGGTCCACTGGAACAAGGTTGCATGTTCCCATTTGGAGTACGGCCTCCTGATCTCACCTTCACAATTAAAGAATATGCAGGTTATAGCACTTATTTCTCAGTAAACATGATGATAACAACTGACTTTTAAAACAAGTCCTACAGCATATACTTTTTGAAGTAATGTAACAGTTGCATTGCATAGCTCATTTTTTTCCACCCTATGGATCACAAACTTCTCTAAAACCACAACCTACCTAGTATGGACAGTTACTATCAAGAGAAATTGAGAACTAACCACGTCAAAGAAGCCGATTTTTGGTGATGGCATCCGAAGGCCTGAGGGTCTCATGGAAGGTGGATGAATTACTTGGCCAGTGCCTGTTGAAGCTCTCTTTGCACTTCCACCTGATAGCCTAGATACCCGAGCATCATCTCCAATCGAGGACACACCATTCACATGGCTCTGAGGGTTCAAAATGTGGGGATTGCTATTTACTACAGAATCCCTTTTGCAAGAAATAGTTTCCAGGCTAGCCCTTTGATTAACAGTAGAAATTGCAGATGACTCTGATGACAACTCACTGATAGAGCTAGAGGCTGATGTATTTGAGGAAAGTTTAGTTGTTGACATCAACGAAGTTGAGGGATTTGAATTCCCAGGCTGGCTTTTACTTCTTGATGGGGTTCTAGCACCAGAACCAGAGGAATAAGATTTAGATGATCTGATATCATTTTTCTTCTTTTCTGAAGCCAGGGATGATTTATCA